TCCTTCCAACTTTGCATATTCTATGATTCTGTGATTCTGTAATGGAAACCTAACTGAGGGAGCTGACAGATTACTCACTGCTCTGAGGTCTTCAAGTCACCCTCAAACAGAAGTCTACACAAGGAGCTCCAAACTCTACTGAGTTTGTCTAACGCCCTTTGAGCATCCTGCCTGATGTTCTGCTGGAGTTTGAAAAGTCATGAGTCTCCTCTGTAACCTGTGGCACATCTGTCACCTTTGTGCAGTACTCTCATATATCCTGTGACATTTCTGATGGCACTTGTTATCTGTACTTGGCAAATGAGTCAAGAAGTTTATCTTCAGTGACTAGAGAAGAAACTTCTACACTTGGATTATATGTAGGCACAATCATTGTGTATTAGAGCTAGAAGATCTTTAAGGTCCCTTCCAATCCAAATCATTCTATGATTCTATGATTTAGACACTTAAACGCATCAACTTTTTTTTTTTTTAAAGTATACTCATTCATACAAAATCTATTCCAAAATATTTACATTCTTTATCGCTAAAATCAGCAACAGAATATTGCTTGAGTTTTAACACAGCTGATTAAAAATCTGTGTTTCCTCACTGCTCACTGAATTGGCAGCAGAGCATCGACCGTATGGTCTTTGAGGGAAGAGTAAGGGGGCTCTTAGCTAAGAGGTATTCTAAATTTTTCTGTGTCTACGGTGCTTTGAAGCTTTCCCTATAAATTCTTGCCCAAAACTCTTGACTGTGCAGATTTTATTTTGCAGGCAAGATAGGCCAAGTGACTGTAGAAATTCTCTCTTTATCCCAGTAATTCTGATCAAAAGAAGCCCATGTGTGGCCTTCTGCAAAACCAACAAAGATAATACTGATGTGTCATGCATATCCTGAGCTTTAAGACAGATCTGAAGGAGGTTTTGCAATTGAAGAGTGAAGAAAGTGTAAAAAGAAGGAAAAAAAATATTTCTGAGCACCCTGCCCCAAATGTAATCTTGCCTAAGGTAGTCTGTGAAACATTCATACTATTCTCATAGTCTTAATTGGTTGTAACATCCTATGCTTTTATTTGGATGTGCTAGGATATGGCAGCCTTTAGTCAATTCTGTTCGTTTAGAGCACTGTAGACAGTGTTTTACAGCCATTAACCTCTCAGGTATTAAAGCTGTGAAGGAATTTGACGAGTCTAATTTCTGGGAAATTGATGAACTAACACAAGCTCTGCTTGAGCAATTCAGTTTTACTCTGAAAGCTAGGTTCAGGCCAGCTTGTTTGGCTGAACAAGATGAGGAGAGTACAAAGCTGTGCCCTCATACCAAAGTGAGGCTGGTAGGAGCAAATCATCCTTCTGTGGTCTGTACCCTCTCCCTTGTGATGCAGAGACCACACACTATAGGAGCTGGATGTCCTTCTGCACACCTACTAGGTGACTTCTAGCATAGCTAGCAGAACAATGGGACAGATGTTTTTGGAAGGATGGATGAGGAATGCAATGCAGATGGATAGGAGGAATGGAGAATGTAAGAAAGCCTGACACTAATTAGTTAACTTTTTTATGATTTTCCTTAGAATTTCTAACTAAATAAGAGTAGGAAAATATACAAGGTGTACAAATTTTTTCTTTTCTTCCCCCCGCTAATAACTAAAATCATAGCAACTTTAAAATTACACATATGAAGAAATAACACTGAAGAGTATAGAGCTATATGTAAGCTCTCTAGATAATACAAAACTGGTAACCAAAGTCTTTAGTCTCACACATTTTGATTTTGTATAACATCCTGTTGACACTAAGCAAAACTGTTCAGAGCCATGTCATTGTACAGATGTTCTAAGCATTTTCACAATGTAGTAACTAACTCATTGTATGTGTATAAAGAAAAGAGCAAAAGATATCTAGAGGTCAATCACTGAATTCCCTCTGTATTGCTTAATATAGAGCCTAGGCCATGAACCCAGCATGGATGGTTGCATTTTAGACAACTACAGTTAGGTGAGTTGTATCCCATTCACTGCCTTTAAAATTTCTTGTCCTGGTAAGGGGAAAATGAACAGCCTTTACATAACATGAAACTACAGTTTATCAGGGATAAAATGGCATTTTTCCTCTGTGTACTTACATTTTCTGTGTTTACTACAGCTGTAAAAAGAGTAACTAGCAAATGAGAAAAATACCACAGACTGATGTCACATGAATGATGACAGCTTCAGCTGACAGTCTACCAACAAATGTGTTTCAAAAGAAAGAAAGAAAAGAAGGGAGAAAGAAGGACAAGTTTAAATAATGACCTGGGTCCATATTCTGCTTAGAACTGGGACATAAATGTGTCCATTTAATGAGACAATAGACTTCCTTGCTATGCAGTGTCTGCTCTAATCCTGTCTAAATCAGTGGAGCTACTTCACTGTAACCTCATTTTGGTGACAAAATATAGTGTTTATGCCAGCAATATTTCATAGATGAGCATTCTGAAATGGCAACTCAACAAAAACAGTACTGGAGGCCTTAATATGGAAATCTACTGTCTTTTAGTATCCACAGTTTTAATTCTGCATTTTGAGGTTTTAAAATTCATTAAACTATTTCTCACTTTATTCATCTGAGTCATTCTTCAATCTCCTTCCAGCATTCTGTTTCTGATTAATAGTTATTAAGTAACAGCAATAATGGAAAAATTACTATCTTTTCTTGGAAAATTTAGCAGTTCTAGTAACTGTTACTATTTCCACAGTTGAATGTGAAAATAGAGAATACAATCTGAAGCAATGCTAAACTTTTAAAATCTCTGTCTAAAGCATATTGTATTTCTTTTGCATTTTCATTATGACTGAGTTATTGTGTTTTCTCAATAGTTTATTTTAATAAAGCTGATATTTCATTATGTGTAGTAAACAATAAAGACAATCTTTCCACTGCAGAAAAAAACCCTATGCTGTAGAAATAATTAAAGCTATTATCATGCAATATGCCAAAAAGAAGGGTAAATTGGATAATCCAAACATCTGGTTTTGTTCACAAATGCAGTGCAGAGATCCATAAATCCATCCAGGGTAAATACAGACTGCTTTACATTTAAAAGTCAAATTGACTACCTATGTAGGGGATGTCTATTTTTTATTAGAATGGTTGGGTTTCAAGGTTCTTAACAATGAGGCTCAGTACATACTTCAGGTGAAACCATGGAAACAGTAGGAGCCATTTTACTCAAAATAGAAATACCACAAATGACCTTGACATTTAAAAGCTGATGCTGCACAATTTAGATTGTGAACCAGGGGCATATTATCATGTCCTCTGTTCCAAAATTGTTATTGGTCTTCCAAGACGGAGTATTTGAAAGCTGGGGACTTGTCTTTATTGGTGAAAGGGGTCCACTCTGCTGAGGAAGACATTTAGTGCCAGTAGCTGGGTCTGCAGCTGCAGACTGAGCTCTGGGTGCTGGGAGCCTCAGGCAAGGGGCCCTTTGCATAAAAAAGGGCACAGGGACTTGTGGGCTGGCCTGGTGACCGGACACTCAGAGACACAGCAGGACCTGATGACCCCCAGCCCTTAGACTGTGAAGGTATAAAAGCCCATGGTTTCCTTTGTTTGGGGTCCTTCCTTGGAGGCACTCTGCTCGAGCTGTTATCTTGTTATTTCACCATGATTAAATTATTTTAAGGATCGGGCGTTTTGGGCTTTTGTTTTGGGAACCTTGGGTTGGGGCCCTTAGGGAACCTTGTTTTGCTTTTTTAATGGGGGTTGTGTAGCTGTGAAAGGGCCTGGTCTCAGCTCTGATGGTCTGAGTGTGACTGCCAGAGTGGCTCCTGGATGGTCAGACAGCAAAGTTTCCTTAACACCTCTTTTATGGGGACCTTTTTGTGGGGACAAGGTAGAAAAGTAGGGATTATGCAGGAAGATATGACAAATTGTAAATGATGGAGCTTGAGAGTGCAGCATTCTGAGGAAAGCATTTGCACTTGAAGACTATAGTTTTAATTCTGTCTGAAGACACCACACACAAAACTTCTCCCCTGTGGTAGAAATGGCTGGGTGTAAATGGCTATGTGTT